GCTTTGTTGCTGAATCAGGCGATGAATCTTTACAAGGTGTGGGTCGCCTTCCGTGAGGACGATGTGGATACGGACACAAGAGCGACCGAGATCAGAAGGGAGGGCGAGATCGACCATACTGAGGTGGGTTTGGAGGTGGCAACTCCTTCGACTGCGGGGCCTGTGCCTCCTGGTCGTGGTAACCTGCCACCGCCGCCGAACCCCAAACCGAAGGAAGTGAAGCCCAAGAAGGAGAAATCTGCAGTGCAACAAGCCAAGCAGGCCAGGTCATGCTTTATTTTAAAGGTTAGGTGTGCTAACTATCTAGCTAGGTTGGCTTCACTCCAGGCCAACACGACAGCGAATGATTTGCTCCTGGAAATCAGTGGCTATGATCACCGCCTCAAGATCCAGAACGTGTTTCCTAACTGCATATAGAATTGTCTTCGAAATCCCCAATCCCTAAGTATTCTAGGAACCCTGCTGCTAACCCATATCCTAGGTCAGATGGTCTTCGCCAAGCCTTTGTGAACGACATGAAGCTGCACGGTGCAAAGATCACACGTGGAAAGGAGCAGCTGGAGGCAGTAATATTAGATACTAATTCACTATATAAATGAACATCTCTCCTTCGCAGGCCGCCTTGACGACCGGGACTACCAATGAAGACTTGATGGTGCTGGTGAAGGACATGGAGGTGTTAATCAAGCAGTATCGTGACGCATCGAAGCATATCAAAAGTTTGTGTGTTGAGCCGGCAGCCAAGAAGCAGCCGAAGTCCAGAGCGAAGCCCAAGGCTGCAAAGTAGCCTGGGATGGCATACATGTTATTTTGCAATGACCGATATGTGGTTCGACTGAGACATGCACTGGCTTAGTGCCGAGAACCTGACTTAGTGCGCCATTTGATTTTGCATACCGGGGATAAGGCCAGCTAAATACGCTATGTGGTGCAATGTCGGGGGCTGCTGGTGCTTGGGATCCCGTCTTGAGTGTTGCCACTATCGTCGTGAGCACTGGGACTGCCTGAAGTGGCCATCCCCATGCATTTCAAAAGAGTTCCATGCCGCTTAGCGAACAAAAAATACAATCGTCGTCACTGATGCAAACGGTACGATGTTGGCATGCTATATGACTATATGTTGCCCTCGGCCAGGTCCCGCCCCCTTTGCCGACTACCTCCTATCTTCGCTGGGCCGAGGGGCCACTTGAGATCTTGAAGTTGGGTTTCTGTAGCTGGGGTATACTACTCTACGGTTTCAAGGGGTTTGCTGCTGCTAGGATTTCGAATTATGTACATATTTATGGGTTCGCTGAATATTATTACTTGTTGAGGCTGTCACGACTTTCTTAAGGATTCCAGGAACCATTCCCCAAACTTTAGTTCCCTATGCTAAGCCGAATTGCTTGGTCACATAACCAATTGAGTCTAAACCCCAAACCTTAAATTCCCTATTAGCTAAGACTTGCTTACCTGATCGTCAGAAACCCCAAACCCCAAACCCCAAACATTGAACCCCTAAACCCTTAATTGTAGACTGACCGCCAAACCCTGATTCCCAAGCAAGCCCCAAAACCCTAAACCCCAAAGGCCATGAAACCCCTAAACCCTTAATTATAAACTGACCGCCAAACCCTGATTCCCAAGCAAACCCCAAAACTCTAAACCCCAAAGGCCATTAAACCCCTAAACTTAAACCTTTAAATACCCAGACCCAGGCGACTTCGTGTGCTGAGCTGCAGCGAGCAGCAGAAGCGATGGTGGCCGACTCCTGCCGATTCAGATTATCATTACTTTCTGTCAATATACTCATATATGTAGGCATACTGCAGTACTGAGGAAGCCGGGGCAGAGAATGTTTCCGAATGGACGAGAAAAATGTCCATGATTGGCTGCAAAGGAAAGTACCCGGGCAATGCTGAAAGGGATTTGTTCCGAGCGCTACGACTTCCAATCGTGCCTTTACAGCCCTATTTGCTAAGCCCTAAAAGTTAAAATACTAAAAAATGGCCCTAAGCCCTAAGCAGCCGAAACTCTAAACCCGCAACGGAACTGTACTAGTGCAAGCTGTAAACTATCTCACCGCAAGGCTCTGTACTATGTGGAAATCCCGATTGTGGAAGCCAGTGATCGAAAGACAGAACAAACCATGCAGCTGCCCATCATTCTGCCACACTTGACTGTAGAATACCTTCTGCAGAGTCGGAAAGTGGAGGTTTGTCAATCTGAGACTGATAAATACTGGAGACACTTCCAGGATGCTAAAGTGCCGTGGGCACTGCGGCATCCAGGTGCTTTTTCTTGTGAGCCTCTGGGTATATATGGGGACGAGGGGCAGATCAACAAGGCCGGCGACAAAGTTATTGTCGTGACTTTCAATTTTGTCCTGGACAACAGGGCTGGTGATGGGGTGATCCACCGTTACCCCATTGCTACTCTACGTGAGTGGATTTCACTTGGTACCCGGTCACTGCATCCTTTGACTCAAGTGATGGCCTGGAGCTTCAATGTGCCCCGGCTTATGTTTAATTTCATACTACCATCGTTACGCCAGGGTTCTCAGATCATGAGCAATTTCATCCCAGGCGTTGTATGAAGGCAAGCACCCTTCCGTTGACTTCAATGGTCAAGACACCCTGCCAGCATGGATGAAGGCCAAAGCTGGAAAAGACCTCCCAGGCGGGTCTGTCCTTCGGCAGCAAGCCCACAGCTAGCCGGTGGCCGCCCGCAACCCTGCCAGGACGCTTCTGTGTCACGGAGAGCCGTGGGGATTGGAAGTGGCAAAAGCAGTTCTACAACTTGAAGTTCTTCTGGTCGCACACAAACCTTTGCCACTGCTGTGATGCATCAATCAGCGGCGACCGAAAGATTCTAAGCTGCATCGTCATATGTGAATATTCTGGGATGTATCTCTGTCAGGGTATGTCTAGGGGCTTCGCATCTAAGTTGGAGCACCGACTTGACCCGTCTGTTTCGGCCTCGCTCCACTGCAGAGATCGTTGCCCAAGCCATGGAGTGCCATGGCGATATTCTTTTTTAATATTATTGTTCTTATATATGGTATTTTGGGGTTTAGGGTCTGGATTAACAGATAGTAGAATGTACCAACTGCAGGGATCCGGTGAATGCGATGCTTTGTCATCATGGCTTTCAACCAAGCATGTTGGCCTGGTGCTCCATGCACCAGCTTAATCTGGGACTCATGCAGGAGTTCAGCGGCAGTGCGGTTCTGATGCTGGTGAAACTCCGCTTTTGAGTCTGATATATAGCAAAATATATCCCGGAAGTTTACATCAGCCCGGAACCGAAACCCTAGCTATGCAAGCCTATGTACATAGGTTACAGGTTTTTAAAGTCGGGATCTCGAGTTAAGGCTTCTTCGGAGACTACAGAGCTACGGACCATATGTCGGAGTCTATGAAGGAGTGCACTCGTCGCTTTAAGGCCTTCTGCACCTTCCACTCTCTCGAGTGCTAGGTCTGCAAGCATTTGTGGTTATCTCTGGCTTTGGACTCTGAATTTTAGTTTTCGGTTCTTCGCGAAAACATATTCATTTCTTTATTCGAGGTGCAGCCAATGCTGGCTAACGAGTGGTATGCTGCACGACGGCCCGACTGGCTGGCCGAGTTTGCGATTGAAGGCCTACAATGCGAGAATTTTTCTGATGTTTCTGAAGGCAGCATTGCAAGCTGCCAAATCTGCCCGAGAAGCTGAAGGCTTTGCGGAGGACGCCGAGTTATCCTATGCTGCATTGGCTGCCAAAGCTTTGTGTTCGTGGTTTGCCCTCGTCGAACGAGCAGGGCGATACTTGACTCCCGAGCAAGCAGCAGACCAGGAGTCTGCAGGACTGCTTTTTCTTCGCTGCTATGCAGCCCTGGCCCGGCTTGCTGCTTCCCAAGGCATTCGCAGGTGGCATGTGATAACGAAGGCTCATGCATCTGGTCAGATTTTGAGAAAGCTTTAATGTCTGTTTTTGTATGTATGCTCGTGTGCAGAGTGCTTCTGTGTGCTCTTTTGTAACAACATCTTTAACCAAGGGATTTCGGCATATCTTGCAAATTTCGAGATTGACTTTGTACAACAGCCGATTTCAGCACACATACGTGGATGAAGACTTCGTTGGTGTTTGGATCCGGCTTTCGAGGCGAGTAGCACGATCCTGGGCCAGTCTTAATGCTGGTTTTGTTGTATATGCTATATGTATTTAAACCACTTAACCGTGATTTGCTGATACTTCTGGTCATCAACTGAGATGCTCTCTTCGAGTTCAGAGTGCTGTGCCGCTTCTTGCTGCGGCTGCAAGCCATGCGAAATGTAGATCAGAGGTCAGTGCCTGCTCGGTCGAGCTGAGTTTGTGGACAATCGGCGTGGGCAAAAGGGCATTTAACGCAGAACATTTCAATGTAAATGTAATGCAAACATAGGCTACGTTAAAGTGTCTGGATTTGGCGAACTTATCATTGTAATCTCGTTTGTCGTTGGTTTGCGTCAACTTATCCTTAAGTCTGCTCTCTGAACTGCCTTTGGAGCCCCGGGGAAACTATGCCAGTCCAAACTTTGCTTGCTTTCGACTTTTCGTTCAAGTTTCTTTTCGCAAAATTCTGTGGTTCCGACTTCAGAGCTCCATCAAGTGCCATCCTTTCATAAAGACACCTTCAAGTGCCCCTTGAAGCCCTCTTCAAGCTCCCTTCCAAGCAAGCCCCCTTGAAGCCCCGCCTTGAAGCCAGGGTCTTGGAGTGCAGGTTGGGGAATAGGAGCTCCGAATAGGGTTTAGGGTTCAGGGGTTTAGGTTGTTTAGGCTGTTTAGGGTTTAGGGGTTTGAGGGTTTAGGGGTTTAGGTTGTCTAGTGTTTAGGGTTTCGGGTTCAGAGTTTAGGGTACCCTGAGGGTCCAAAGGACCCAATAGTTATGTACTCGGTTTCACGATAGTAGTTATGTAGAATATACAATAATCAGGTACTTGGACCCTAAGGGGCAGGTTGGGGACTATAGGCGCCCTAACTTCAAAGCCATCGTTAGAGCCTTCGCGCGGAAGGCGAGGCGGGCGGGGATCGCCTCTGGCGAGGTGAGATCCTGCTGGAAGAAAGGATGCAGGAGGCCCTAGGGCTCCAGTTACCTAAATAGTAGGATACTAAGCATATTCCCAAAGGGTCCAGGTATCATTATGGTATATACTCATAGGGTATTTTAGGGATCTAAGTATACACCATAATGATACTTGGACCCTTTGGGAACCCCAGTAACCTACTGGCATTGCTTCGGCAACCCACTACCACACCCCGAACCACAGATCCCCTGGGCACTGAACCCTAGCCCAATGCCGCCAAACTCAGAACCCCAAAGACCCAGTGATGGGAGGCCAAAAGGGGGGTTTAAGATTCTTGCGGTAGGGAGTCCTTCATATGAACCCTATTATGGGAACCCTAATCCCTACTAAACCCCCATAGGCTAAAACCCCTTTTAGCCTCCTATCACCAGGCCCCAGAACCCGAAGCCCAAACACTCCAATACCCCAAACCCCAGAAACCTAAACCCCAAAGCCCTTATTCACTAAACATATTGGGGAGAAAAGACGCCCAAAACCCCAAAATCCTACACCCCAAAGCCCTTAATCTTGAACCCTTCGGTCATGGCCGGTTCGGACAAGGACACCCCCTGCGCATCGGCCACCTGAAGCTTAGGCACTGAGTGTTGGGGTTTCGGGTTATGTTTTACCATCCAGGATCTCGGGTTCTGGTCGGGTACTGCCCCCGCTCTGTAACAGTCTATGCTAAGGGTCATACTAAGGGCTATATGTCTATACTGAAAATGTTATCCAACTGCTACAGAGTGGGGGAGCAGTATCCAAGGTTTTTTGTTTAAGTGCAATGGGCCTTCCGATCTGCAGAAGCGAGACCGTCCAGCTCACTCTTAACGAGTGTGCACTGAGAAGAAAAGATACCCTCTCAGAAGTCACCGAACTTAGCTCCCTCATCGTTCTTGGTGTATATGTTGAGGCTGTAGGTTGAGGGTTGGATCGAAAGCTTTGTTCCAGGGCCTCGGGCTGTTGGAGTTTAGGGCGTAGGGTGCTGGGGCTGGCGTCCAGTAGCTTCCTTTCTCAAAGGGCTCCAGATAGGCGTGGGGAATCCCGAGTAAGAGGTTAAGACAAGCTTAAACCCTAAACCCCCTCTATAAACCCCAAACCCTAAACCAAACCCGCTCTATAAACCCTAAACCCCCTCTAAAAACCCTAAACCCTAAACCCCCTCTATAAACCCTAAACCCCCTCTAGCAACCCTAAACCCTAAACCCCCTCTATATACCTTCAACCACCTCTAAAAACCCTAAACCCTAAACCCCCTCTATGAACCCTAAACCGTAAACCTTTAGACTCTACTCGCTCCACTCCATGGAGTCGAGCTGCCGGGGAATCAGAAAGAGTAAACTACCCTGACATGGAATCCCGAATAGTGGGATCCTTACACAAGCATCCCTACAACGGCACTCCTAGTTGAAAGGAGTCCGTATTCTTGACCCTAAATATATCTTCTTAGTGGCTCACTGGACGCATACATGAGGTGCCCAATTTCTTTCTGTATATATATATATATATATACACATGAAGATGCTATGGGTGGCCTATAAACTCAAAGCTTGAGCCAACCAATCCCTACAGGACCCTGAGAGGAAAGCTTATATAACAGAGTCCCCTTACATAGACACCTTGCAGGGACGCTTTAAAGGCACTGTTATATGAACCCTCACGAGCGAACTCTTCAATGGAACTCCTTCTTAACTCCAAACAACCTACTTTTCCAAGGACTTATTTTAGGAAATCAGAAAAAGGGACCCTAAAAAGGTAGGTTCTTACCTAGACCCTCAAAAAGTAGGTAAAATAATGGCCCCAAAACCTATGAAAGGCCATTATGTCCAGGGAGCCATAGGTCCCCAACTACGGGTTATAGTGATACTGTTGATGATATAAATCCTGCATGACCTTAGGGACTCCAAACTATGGGAACTATGGTATATTCCTTATTATGGGTAATGCAGGATTTATATCATCAACCGTAATTAGTTGCCTTACTTATAACCCACTTACAACTACTCATGAACCTCTAAGTATCCCTCCCGGTTCTTAAGGGTCCTGGGATGCCCTGACAGATGCAACTCGGAAGTTGCTGGGCGCCCAACCAACCACTTCCCAGGTATTTGTGTCGTCGGGACCTCCCACCGGACTCGTGTTTGGGCTTCGGGCTTCGGGTTTAGGGCTTCGGGGTTCAGGGGTTTAGGGGTTTAGGGTTTAGAGACCCGTGTTTGGGCTTCTGAAGCTTTAGGGTTCAGGGGTTTAGGGGTTTAGGGACTGGCATTGGGGCTTCTGAAGCTTTAGGGTTAGGGTTTAGGGTTTAGGGTTTTAAGGCTTGAGATCTGAGGGTTCAGGGCTTGAAGAGCTCAAGATGTAATGCACCCTTCAGCCCAATTTCATCCCACGATCAATGCCCCGATATTTCAAAAACATCCTCCATTAAGAAGCTATGTGTGTGTGTGCGCGCATATATCAGTACATATACATGTGTGCATGGCTTCTTTTGTGTATGTTACATATGTACGAAACACAAGTCACCGGGAGGGATACTTGGAGGTTCAGGGGTAGTTACAAGTGGGTTATAAGATGTTATAAGTAAGGCAACTACTTATAACTATAACCTAGACCCCCAAAAGTAGGTGAAATAATGGCCCAACATCTATAAACGGCTATTATTCTACATACTTTTGGGGTCCAGCAACCCATATTTGGGGGGACTTATAACTCCACGTATAACTACCCATGAACCTCCAAGTATTGAGCCTCGCGCACATCTTCCATCCAAGGACTTGAACCTCCCTGTCCTAAGGACCGAAAATCCCTGAAAAATATGCGAAACAACGACTCCAACCTCCGAAACGCCTGAATGAGTTAAAGATCAGCGGTAAATGAGTAAAAGACCGAAATTCCAGAGCTAAAACAAGTGTTCCCGAGTTAAACTCGCAGTGGCTCGACAACCCTTGCGCTGCGGAGCCTGCATAATTGGAACAGGGCTTCGACATTGTTCCAGGGTTATAAAGGGTATGAGCACTAATGTACATCTCTACATGTCCATATCATAGAAACCTTTGTCCACATATATATATATATATATATATCACATATGACTGTCTGTTTACATATTGATATTTATGCATTTGAGTATTTGTGCGCTTTAGAAGCCCTAAACCCTAACAGCACCTTGAAAACCATGTGGGGTCTCGCCGCTCCAGCTCGAAGAACTACCTTCCGGAGAGTCGCAGCCGCGGATTTCTCCATGGATTGGAGTCGGGGCTTTGGGGTCCATGTCTTTCATGTGGGGGGGTTGTCAAAATTAGGGTCCCTTTTTGGGCCCTTATTATAATACGGCACCTAATATATAGGGTGCCAAAAAGGGACCCTAATTTTGACAACCACCCATGTGCATGTGTTTGAAGAATCGGGGGAGGGGAGGGAGTGGGGTCGGTGGTTTAGGCTTGTGGGCTTGCGGTTGTGTTCGTTTGTCTTCTCGGCCTGGGCATTGAGGGTTTGGGTTTACAGTGCGGTTTGAGCCTTTCGATTTGGGAGTTACTCAAAAACAGTGTAAATTTTGGCATTTTTCGCTATATCGGAGTTTCCGAAACGAGGGGATCCCAATATAGTCCTCTAAATAGGAAAGTCCTTATTATAAGGACCCCAGAATAAGGTACCACTCATTTTCGGAAACTCACATATAGACCTCTGAATGAATAACACCGACTTCTGGCCCCTTAAACCCCAAACCAGAATACCCGTCTAACCCTAACCCTGAATCCTAGCCCTAATACGCGCTTAGCCCAATATATGAAGCCTTACCCACAATACGCACTAAACCCTAAACCATAAGACGCCCTACTCTCTAATCCTAAACCTGAAAGCCTCAACCCGATGCTCAGGGCCTGTTGCCGTGACACGCGGCTCGCTAGCATCCTCGCTGCCTCTTCTCGCGGATACCTGACCACTTGTAGAACCTTTAAGAAGCCTTAACTATAGAATCCCTAAAGAAGCCATTATAGATCCCTTCAGAGGACCTTCAGGTTACTGTGGACCAAGTCTTCGAGGGGTTACTTGGAGGATCATGGGACTTAGTAGGTAAGGTTATAAGTACCTTAACAGGGGTTATAAGATAATGTAAGTATAGTTACTAGGTCCCATGATCCTTTAAGTAGGGTCTTAGAGGTTCGTGTTGAGCGTGTAGAGCTGCGGGCTTCTCGGCTTCATTTCTTAGGGTTCAGGGTTTTGTGGTTTAAGTTTAGCGCTTCTGTATTCGGCTTAGGGTGCAACAACGGTTCCTGCGGTTCTGCTTCTGATAAGGATAAAGCCTAGAAGAAACTTCCAGCGACCTTGCCTCCTTTTGTGAGTTCAGCTCGTTCAGCGCTCGCCGAAATTGCCTGGCGTCGGAGGCAGGGGTCTTGCAGAGCTACGGAGCTACGGTTTAGGGTTTACCATGCGGCTTTTCTGGACTTGTGTTTTAGGGCCTATGGGCCCCCGAAGCAGGCTATTTTTGGCTGAACCCACGGCTCGAAACCCTCCCAAAACCAGCACATCGACTCTACAGGCCCAGATAGAGAGGGCCTCCAAGAAACAGCAGGGGTTGCTTAGGCCTTGTAGCATAAGTTTTTAAACATTAGGGAATGATATCATCAACTAGGTACGTAGGCTTGTACTTGTTCATGGCTGGGATGATATCAGAATACAAACTTTTATTCCTGTTTGGGTTGAGGTACCCATAAAAATGCAAAATCTTACCCAACCATGGCAAAGTCCCCCAAACCCTAAACCTTGAAATCCAAAACCCGATCTCCGTGACAGGACACTTCTCGTGGAGCCGTGGCATGGCACAAAGTGCCACAAGCTCCTCGGCCCCGCGTTTCGGATTAGGGTTTAGGGTTGGGGGTTTAGGGCTTAGGGTGTAGGGCTGCAACTGAAAGTGTTCGGATTCAGGGGGATTGCGTTTTATAGAGATTAATGGAAACGGGCTTCGGATCGAGGTGTGGAGGTCTTAGGGGTCTAGTGCTTGTGTTTCTGTTGTCTGGGGGTTAGGGAGCTTAGGGCTTAGGGCAGCCTGGTTACGGCTTAGGGCAGTCTGAACCTAGTTTGGACTTCGGGGCTTCGGGCTCACCATCACCATCGTCGTCAGCGCCGTCATCAAGACACTCAGGGTTTAGGGTTTAGGAACGATCCTTCTGGGGTTGAGTGCCTCTCCGTAGTTTGCGGCTGTGCACTTGTGGCTATGATGATGGTTAACAAACGTCTTTTTGCCACTGCTTCTGCCATCGGTGCTAAGATGCGCAGGCAGTACAAATCGCGGCACCAACACTCTGAACTTCTGGCTGCTACAAACAGCCCACCCAACATCAGCAATCGTAGTGGGGCAACATCCCTAAGAGTAGCATGTCATCAGAGAGCACACCAAACACACCAAACTTCAGAGCGAAGTTGTTAGCTGGAGCCCCGAAGCCCTATTTTCGTTTGGTATTTGGACTCCAGGGAACATACTTGCACTTCTGTCCCGAAGAACGGTGCTCAAACCGTAAACCTCCGACCGCGCAGGTATGTGCCGGTCATGAAAGCTCATGTCGCTGCAAAGCCAAGCTGCCGCAACGTCCTCTTCAGTGGCATTGCGTATGATGCGAAAGTCGTCGAAGCCCTCTGCCTCGCAATGTGCACACTTCGGGGGCCTTAAATAACGATGTCTGGGGCGTCGCACTAGAGAAGCTGCGACAGCAACGCACGAACAAACAGTTCCACGGACCATCCTGATTCGTTCATGTCACGAAGTTAAGAACAGCATCCATGTTGTGCATGCATGAATGCAGTAGCGGGTGGCTCTGCGACGAAAACCTCTGTATTCTACATTCCGCAAACCCCGGCCCTGAAATCCTAGAAACCCAGAGGCACCACTACACTACACTAAATAATCCATGGAACCCTACAGCCAAACAGTCAACTCTGTCAGAATCCATTGAACCCCGTAGACTAAACCCACGCATCAAAGCCTAAAGCCCCAACCGTTCAACCTCAATCCCCCAAGCCCGTCAGCTGGAAACAGCTCAGAACTTCAGGTCTGCAAGGTTGCTGGCCAGACTCCCAAACTGCGAACTAGACCTATTAAACCCTGGGCCGTCAACCCTCGACCCAAACTTGCAAACCTTGAACCCTAAACTCGAAACCTGAAGCTTAAAACTTTGAACCACTGCGTACCCTCATGCTCCAAACCCACAGCCCTAAACCCTAAACCCAAAGCCCTTCAAGGAGCCCTTAAAGGAACCCTTATCGAAACCCTTTAAAGAAACCGCTAAAGGAGCACTTGAAGGAACCCGTAAAAGAAGAACCTGAAAGGAACCCTTAAAGGAGCGCCTTAAGGAATCCTAGGACCCCTATGCTTCCCCCCAATAGATACCTTAAAGGATCCCTTGTCCCTCAATCACGATCCCTTAAGGGACATAATAGGGTTCCATTATAGGAATTCAGGGTTCCCTTAAAGGATCCCCTTAAGGAATCCCAGGATCCCTAGGATCCCTTAAAGTATCCCCTTGAAGGATTCCGTCGGCGAACCTGGAGGATACCTCCATAGCGGCCGAGGCCGAGATCGCAAAGCCAGCGCTGGACCTCCTCACCATCCTCCGGTTTTTGTTTTGGGGTGTTTTTTTGCTTTAAGGGCTCCTTTTCGAACTGCAGAGTGCTCTTCGAAAGCCCATTTGGGCGAGCTACCGGTTTTGGGGTGTTTAGGCTCGAGGATTTGAGGATGAGGGTTTGGTTTGAGGGTTTAGGGTTTGTTTTGAGCTCTGAAAATAAAAGTCTGCGCAGCAATCTGAGCTACCATCAGGCCATTGGCCAGGAGAAGGGTCAGGAGAGCTTCAGGCTGTAGGGTTTAAGCGTACAGTTTGGGTAGTTATTAGGGTTTAGGGTGAAGTTGGGGGCGCTTAGGCTCTGGGGTTTGGGCTTAGGGTTTAGAGATTAGGGTTTAGCCTCTAGGGTTCAGGTAGGGTTGCGGATCCTTGAAGGCCAGGCGTTAGGGTTTAGTGTCTAGGCTTTGGGGAATCGTTTACGGTTGAGGGTGTACGGTTTGGGGTAATGCTGAAAGTTTTTTTGTATCCGAATGTTGGAAGGGTTTTGCGGGGTTTGTTAAACAAACTTTACAGGATTGTAAAGGGTTCGATCTAGGATTTATACGGTTTTCGAGGGTTGAGTTGGTTCGATTTAGGATGGTTTAGCGCTTTGGGCTCAGGTTTGGCGGCTTGGGTGTGCGGTGTACAGCTAGGGGATTAGAGTTTGCGGGCTCTATAGGTCTAGGTTTTAGGGCTCATAGGATTACCAGATTGAGGGCCAAGGGCTCTCTCACGGCTTAGTCTTTGGCACACTCCAGTGCAGAGAGACCAGGGGTAGGGCTAGGCTAGCAGTTGTCCTGTGAAGGCTTCGTTTACCTGCAATCCTCACCGTTTGAGGTTCAAGCAATGCCTGGGCTTAGTTGCCAGACGTTCGGGTTTACGACTGTGGATTCCAGGTAAGAGCTTAGGCTCAGATCTGAGGTGTGTAGCTTTCACCTAAGCCTGAAAGACTACACATCGCGAATTGACGCATACCCCAGCATCTGCACCTAATGCTGAACATGCGACATTCTGACCCATATAACTCGTCTTGGGGCTTAGAATGATTATTCACCGGTGCAAAAACTAGACATATCTTGTCATGTTCCACTAGAATCGTTGACTGCCCCGCCCACCAACTCAGCCTCTGTGATCAAAATTAGGGGCCTTCATAACCCGAGAAGGGTTTTGAGGCATGTGCCAGTATAGTTATAATCAGGAGCCACAAGTAACAAAAATACGTGTCGTTTCAAATACGTGTCGTTTCTTCAGGACCCTGTACTAAAGAGTCCTCTCTAGATTGCTTGTTGCTTGTAGACCCCTTTAACGGAAGCCTTGAGGGAATCCTACAGTAGAAGCTCAAAAGTTGGAAACCCAATAGCCTCAATCCTTCAGAGTCATGTATAGGGAATCCCAGCACTATATGGCTTTAATCCGGTTTCCAATTTTCTGGGGTTAACTGCAAGTTGATCCTATCCGGCGGCTCCTCGTTGCCGGCGAGGTCGAACATCGCGGGGCCGCTGTCGTCGCTCGCCATGGCTGAAAGCGCATTGCAACCAAGACGCCCTCAGGAGGATGACTAAGCAATTCAGGGGCGTAACAGTGAGAAATAGGCCGTTTGGGTATATTCTACTCTAACTATACAGGGAGTTAATATAGACGCCTGCGTAGGAATGCTTTCTTTGTGGGGTCTAATTACATATTTGGGCTCCTTAAGCTCCTTAAGATACTTGTATTATAGTCTACCCCAAAACCCTACTTATCCAATCTACTAAAGACCCCATATTACGGTTGCGGTAGTCAGTGAGGCTGGTTTGCATTGCAGAGTGAGCAGCCAGAAACCTGCTAAGCTAAGTTTTAAACATCTTAAACTCACAATTGCTGTGGGCACCTGCTACTGTAAACATTTTAAAGATCTGTCCTGACCAGCATGCTTAGCAATTTGTAGATTCAGGGTGTTGGCTTGAAAACCCACAATTTCTATACGTCCCGTCAGGGAGATGACGAGTAATTGGACTTTCCAGTTGCCAGACTACTCCCAAAGCCAGAACTTTAGACCCATCCACGGGCCACTTAGACTTGGCAACATGTCCGAAGAAGGTCTGGCTTGCCTGAAGATAGTCTCTATCTAGGTACTTTGGAACCCACAAAGACGCCTTGGTTCAGGGCTTGGGGTTCTGTATGTTGTGAACCGCTTTGGGCTGCGGTTTCGGAGCATGTGACGATCCTCCTTTAAGACAGTCCTGGTTAAAGCTATGGAATCGAATTACGCGTTGCCGCAGCAGATCCTCCTGAGGGGTCGAGGCGCTGGCGGAATATGAAGCAGTCGTTAGTACTACGCCTGAGGCTGCTGGCTCAAAACAACTCATACTTGTCCAGGACATGACTAAGTCACAGACTGTGTTGAAAAATGCTCGTGGCGAAGCAATGACATCGGTTGAAGGACCGACGAAATACTCAAGGCATGACAGAAACATGGGAAACACCTGCGCCTGTGCGAGCCACAGCACATTGCGGAAGTGATGCCGATGAAGAACATTGTGTACTGTGTAAGCCACAAGGTGAGGTTATTGCTAAGGGGTGTAACTTGGTGTAACTTTGCTTAAGTAGGCAGAATCGGGGTCTACAGTGAAGAATGCGATTTCTTCAGTATGGTAGCTCAAATACAGTTCCTTAACAGGAACCCAGAAAACCCTCTCTTTTCTCTGCCCAGTACTTGGAGTATTTATCATTGCACTTAGTAAGTATATAAGGTTAGCGTAAGTGGATTATAGATATAAGTCTATACATCCCAGGTTTTATAACTTGCGCTACCAAGTACCATGATCCTTTAAGTACCCTCAAGTGCCCCACACCCCCTTAGAGAACCCTGCTTATAGAGCCCTTTAAGGAACTCTAGTAACTACGTCCCAGAAGTAGCTAGGATGCCCAGCAACCTAGGAATAAAAAGAGCTCCCTTTTTGCTATTGGGTATAAACTATACGGAACCTAAGACTACAAAAAGGGAAAAAGGGCCCACTAGAAAGGCCTGGGTAGTGGACATCTGCACTGCGAGAGCGCCTTGCCTCCTGCCAGGTCCCAGAGTCGCACCACTCCGTCCGAGCCGGCCTTGCAGTTCTGTGATTTTGAAAAAGGGCTCCTTAAAGGGATCTCTATAGGGCTCCTTAAAGGGGATCTATGGGGTTTAGGGTTTAGGGTCTACTTGGAGGGGCAGGGGACTTAGTAAGTCGTTTATAAGTAGGGTTATAATTGGGGTCATTTAGGGTACTTATAAATCTACTTATATCCTATACACTAAGTCCCCTGACCCTCCAAGCAGGGTTCAGGGCTCCCGGCCTAGGTTCTTCTTTTTTTTGGGGTTTAGGGCTTATAATTTAGGGTTCAGAGTTTAGGGCTCCGGGTTTAGTTTAGGATTTTCTGGGGGTTTAGGGTCGGGGCTTGGGTTCTGGGCTCCGGGCCTAGGGTTTAGGTTAGTTGGCTGGTTGGCTCAGGGGTTTAGGGGTTTCGGGGTTTAGGGGTTATAGGGGTTTAGAGGTTAGTCTAGGATCTTCTGAGGGTGTTATACATGCTGAAGGGTGATCGTAAAGTCTGACTTGGTGTTGTAGCATGTATGCGTACACACTAACACACACACATACATACATACATACATACATACATACATACATACATACACACATACATACATATGTATATATACACAAATATACATCCGTATACACAGATAAGTACAGAGAGGGGACAGAGAGTGAGAGAGAGACAGAAGAAAGAAAGAACGATAGAAACAAAGAGCGAGAGTGAAAACCATGACAGAGGTTCATGAAGGTTTGTGGGTTCATGGACTGCGGATTTCAAGGTTTACGGTTCGGAAACTTGGGGTTTTGGAGTTCAGACCCCTGCTCCTGTTCCTGCTGCAGACGCCGCTCCTACTCCTACTGTTGCTGCTACTGCTACTGCGACTGCTACTCCTACTGCAAATGCTACTGCTAATGAATGCCGCTAGTGCTACTGTTCCTGCTCCTTCTAAGGCGACGACCACTGCCAGTTTCACTTAAGGAGTGCCAGCTTTCACCAGGCTTCACGAGGCTTTTCCGTGGCTCGAGGACTTGCTGCAAAGACACCTTTGGCGTCAGCAAACGCATCTCACGGCTAATGCTGTGTGGAGTGACAAGTCTTCGGGATCGCATGTTAGGGTTTTCGAAATCGACTAGGAGTTGTTGAGCATTGTTGGTGACTCATCTAAGACTTCCACCGACTATGAGACTAAACCCTAAACCCTAAACCGTGGCTCTCTTAGGAAACAACCAGTACTGTTTACCGCCTGCCTCCTTGCAGATCCCAGATGACATCAGACCCCGGACGCTATGACATCATCCTAGGCCCCAAAGCCTAAACACTAGTAAGAATAGCAATACTGGTCAGAAAAGTATGAATAACAACTAGTAGTGTTGAAGAGTCATAACAGCAGTAGTGAACTGTAGTAGATATTACGCAGTAGGCCCTGGCCCACCGGCGGCGGATTCGGCTGCATGATGAACAGGCCCCAAGGTCGGGCTCGCCGAAGGCCCCCCCAGCGCGAAGCCATGAAGGAAGAGAGACTAAACACACATGAAACAAGATAAGAATAGAAGGAAAGACAAGGTTTTCCTAAAAATCTAGGTTAGGAGAGTGACTAAATGGTTTCAGCTTTGGTCTGCACACGTGAAAGCATTACGTTTACGATAAAGCTAACCCCCAGACTGGAGAGACGATTTAGGAGGCAGAGATCAGGTTGCAAAGGGACCCCCCGTAAAACCCCAAACCTCGCAGTAAACTCTATACAGTAGAGGCCAGGAAGTTGGAACATCATTATCCTCGTGCCAGGAAGGTAGAGCAGAGGGTATCCCAGCACTAATCACCCTAAATCCATGTTCCAACTTTCTGAGGTTCGCTGTAAATTAAACCCCTAAACTCCTACCCTATTCTAATTCTTAAGGCCCCTACTATAGAGCCTTCTTACAGACCCCTTCTAGAACCCTTTAAGGGATCCTAACCTAACAAACTCTACTGACCAAGCCCTGGACTGATCCCTAAACCAAATCCGAAACTCTAAACAAGATACTGTTCCCGTATACCTGGACCCCAAAAGTATGTAAAATAATAGCCTTTTATAAGTTTTGAGCCGTTATTTTACCTACTTGTGGGGGTCTAGGTAGTCCCAATACAAATTGAGTAAGCTATTTGTGCCTGTATGTAACCAAGCCTGAATGGAAGTACTTATAGAACCATTAAATAGGAACTCTTGAAGGATTCCGTATAGGAGCCCTCAACCCTAATTACCTTTAAAGGATCACCCACAAAACTCTGTAAGCGGATATTCTTGTTATTGAGCGGGCTCAGTGAGCTCCCTGAGGTTGACTGCTGCCACGCACACTCAGGAATGCATTGCACCTTGGTTCTGCTGCACCCGAAGTCCGGGGCATTGGGATGAAGCTTAGGGCTTAGGCTTTACAGCAGCGCTTAGTTCAGGGTTTAGGTCAAACGGTCCTTGGGATCGAATCTGCTGTAGTGCGAGTACAGTAGAGCCCGAAGACTTGGAACATAGAATCCTGGATTAGGGTTTAGGGTTTAAGGTTTAGAGCTGCAAGATAAGGATGCTTGCTACAAGGTTCCGCTTTCATAGATTGATGCACACTTGGTACCGACTTGATACCAAGGGTATGAGGGGCATCATGGGACTTAGTATGTGAGGTTTTGAGTACCTTAATTGGGGTTATAAGTAGTTATAGGTATAGTTACCCGAATAACAACCCTAGTTACTAAGTCCCATGATCCTCTAAGTACCCCTAAGTCCCCCTTATAGAACCCTTATAGATCCCTTTTAAGGAGCCCTTTAAAGAACCCTAGTTACTAAGTCCCATGATCCTTTAAGTATGAGGCCACCCAACTTTCTGGCTTCTGCTGCAATCATGATGGAACTCTAGGGCCCAAAGAGCACACACCTCGGTGCTTGCCGCTCAGTTTAGTAACCCTAAACCCTATAAACCCTAAACCCTAATGTAAACAGTTTGAAAAGACTTTCAGGGATATAGGTTGTAGTGTTATACTACTGGCGCCCCCAGGGAAAAGTTGGAATAGTATTACAAACGTATTCCGACTCTTCTCTCAGGGCTTTAGGGTTTTCGGTAGATCATCGAGGCCCCAGTGGATAAAACACGCTGCATCCATCATATGTGTGCAAGATACAGACTAAAGCTCCGAACAAAACAAACATGGCATCCTCTCATAGTCCGCTGCTACCATAAACTGTACTGCAACTTTCCCCACGGCGCTAGCATATCCTGAATAAGGGTCCATGCGCCAAGCGGCTTATGTGTTGGCTCTATGGGGACTACATGACTAAGGCAACAGTATCTACCATATTTCATCAGTACATGGTCACTTATGGCTAAACAGTTCACTGCCCTTCGAAGGTAAGCAAATACAGCTGTTTCTGAGACCCCTATAGAATTTATTAGGGTTTGGGGTTTGGGGCCTTGGCGGAAATCAGTAATTCAG